ATGGACTGCTAGGAGAACAAACAAGTTTGTCCTGGAGACAGTGAAACCAGGCTGCTCCTTGGAGACAAGGATTTTGAAGCTCCATCTGACGTACTTTGGGCATGTTGCAAGGAAAGACCAGTCTTTGGAGAGGGACATCTTGGTTGGAAAGATGGAGGGACTGCACAAGAGAGGAAGACTGTGGAAATGGATTGATTCAGTGATTGGGGTAATGGGGGTAGGCGTGTCAGAGACACTGAGGTTGGCTCATGACAGAGCAGGATTCAGAGCTCTTGTGCAGAGGGTTGCCATGAGTTGCAAGTGACTTGATGTCACATAACAACAACATCCCACAGAACAGCTGGTGGATTCAAACTGCGTGCCTTTGCATAGGCAGCATAGTTCCTTATCACTAACTAAATCACCAGAACACCCTACAGTTTTTATTAGTAATCCCGAAGGAGCAGTTTGAATCCACCAGATGCTCCGCTGGAGAAGGAGGGGCAATCATTTCCTGTGCCAGTCAGATCAGACTCGACGGCACACAACAAGGAAAAAAGAAGAAAAAAAGAAGACTTCAGACAATATTTTTGGTTTAAGATTAAAAGATTATGTCAGGACAATAGTTTCAGGTGTTCATCTGCCCTTCATGGCTTTAGAAAGTGTACAGTCGGTAGAAGTTGAGTTCTATTCGCTATTATCCTCCATTTGGTCAAGATGTTTCTACACAATCCAATGAGGTTTTTAGCATGTTCATGGAAGCATACCACTTCTTTGACTCCTATTTTGGTGGCCTTACGTTGATTTAAACTGGTAGTGACCTCCTGTGGCAAAGTAGAACTGCCCTATGTGACTTCGTAGATTTTAAAATGCTGTCTTTAAAGTGCTAAAAGGGGGCAATATCACTATAAAGACTGAGGTGCACCTGATCAAAGCCATCGTATTTTCAAGTTCTTTCTTTGTGTCTTAAAGTTGGTCAGTGAATAAGGAAGATAGAAGAAGAATCGCTGCCTTTCAATTGTGGTGTTGGAGAAGAGTGCTGAATGTCCTATGGACTGCTGAAAGAACAGATAGGAATGTCTAGAAGGAGGTTGCCACCAGGGCGCTCCTTAGTACCCAGGATGGTGAAACTTCATTTTACTTATTTTCGATGTGTTGTCAAGAGGGGCCGATCCTTGGAAACAGAATCATGTTGGGAAAGGCAGAGCGTCAGTGAAAGAGAGGAAGACCCTCAACGAGAGAGAGCGACACGGTGACTGTCACAGTGAGTACGTTGGAGACTGACGATGGTGCTGGAGAGGCAAAGTGCACATCTGTTGTTCATAACGTCACTATGAGTTGTAGTCAACTTGATGGCCCCTAACCACAACAATCTTGTTTTTTCATTTTACCCTCCTCCAGCCTCCAAAAACAAATTTTTATGGGGGAAAAACAAAAACAATCTTGATGGGAACAGATGATCAGGCTTTAATTCCACGGAGTCAGTGTGTGAATTGTAAATGCTAATCTCTTAGGGAGCAGTCACTGCTTAACCAATGGGCCACCAGGGCTCTTTCTGACCTTGAAGACAAGTGTTTACACAACTCATTTCCCACTTAGACCATCTCATGGCTCCATTTTACACATTGACCAAGAAAGGTTCAGATGTTTAAATGATGCCCAGAAACGTCAGTATTCTGGTGTATTCCATCTTAGTGCTCCTAGGATCCTAGGAGCATAGACACAGAGTACAGACACAGCAAGGGATGATTATTTACTTGACTGTTCACCCACCAGACTGTGAGTTCCTGAAGGTCAGCTCTGTGTCTTTTGTGTCGCTGCAGCAGAAATGCCTCACACTGTGCTTGGCCCACAAACAAGCCCCCTATTTTTGGAAAGCTTTGAAATCTGAGTCACAGTAGATGCTTATTAGAGAAAACAATTTTGCTGTTTTATGCTTCATAAAATACTTGAGTATCTTTTTTATGACTTTGTTATGCTTTCCCAGAATAAACGGTTTCCAATTTTTGAGCACCAAATCATTACCAAATACATCTCATTTAGACCACAACGACTCTGTGATGTGGGCATCTGAATTATTTTGCAGATGATGAAACAGCTTCAGAGAAGTAACTCACCAAAAGTTGAACAGCTTGTGAGCTTTGGAGTCAGATTCAAAGCCAGGTCAGTCTTATTTCAAAGCATGTGACCTGTACTGCTCACATGTCTCCATGTCACTTACTTCCCAAGCATAAAGCATAAAGGAGGCTCAGTCTGTAGTCCAACTACATGACTCAGTTCAGAGCGAAATGGCTGGAGGCAGAAAGGGTAGAAATGCTTAACACTTTGAATGTCTTCTTGTTTTGATGATCCTGGATGTTTGAGGAGGAAATAAAAGCAACAACAAACCGCGTTTCTCATTTACAGGATTGCTTTTGAAGCTGTGACTAAACCTAAAATACACCTGTAAGTTGTAGTGTGTTGTTCTAAATGTGGGAAAGCATCTTCAAGGTATGGGGAAAGCTAGTGTCGTGCTGACATTGACCTTGATGTTGTTGCTTTATGCTGTTCAAATGGATGCTGACTCATAGTTGCCGTTCCCCTGGGTTTTCAGAAGCTGTAAGTTACACTGGAAGAGATTGCCCGTCTTTCCCCATGGAGCCGCTGGTGAATTTGAACCACCTCGCTAGCTTTTAATGATGGCAGTGCAAATCCTTACCACCAGGCCACTAGAGTTACCTGACCTTGATAGCGTTCCTTTATTGAAATTGCTATTGTTATGTGCTTTTGAGTGCTTTCCATTTCATATTGGACCTCTGCGCAGCTGAATGAACCTTAACCTAGTCCTGTGCCATCCTCACAGGCACTGCTGTCCTTGAGCCTGTTGTAGCAACCTTTACGTTAATCCATTTCGTTGAGGGTCATTCTTCCTTCGATTTGACTAATCATGATGTCCTTCTCCATGGATAGGAGGCAGATACTGAGGCAGATGTCAGAATGTGCTGGCTACTTCTAGACAGAATGAATTGCATTGGAACTACTGGGAGCTCTTAAAAGAAAATTGATACGTGAAAAAAAAAAAAAGGCGCACGGTTCAAATCCACCAGATGCTCTGCTGGGAAAGGAGGGACACTCTCCTCCTGTACCAGTCAGATCTGATGGTACACACACACACAAAATTGTTGTTGTTATGTACTGTCAAGCCACCTGCAACTCCTAGTGCCCCCATGTACAACAGCCCTAAACACTGCTCTATCCTGGGCCAACCTCACTGTCTCCAACAAACCTACTCCCATTTCCCCAGTCACTGAATCAATCCACCTCTTCGAGGGTCTTCCTCTCCTGTGCTGTCCTCCACCCTCCCAAGCATGATATCCCTCTTCAAGAACTGGTCCCGCCTTGCAACATGTCCAAAGTATGTCAGAGGAAGCTTCAGAATCCTTGTCTCCAAGGAGCAGCCTGGTTTAACCCTCTCTAGAATGAACCTGTTTGTTCTCCTAGCAGTCTATGGTATATTCAATACTCTTCTCCAGCACCACAGCTCAAATGCATCAACTCTCCTATCATCCCTAGTCATTGTCCAACTTTCTAATGCATAGCAAGTAACTGCAAAGACCATGGCCTGGATTGGTCGCACCTTAATCTCCAGACTGACGTCATTCTTCAGTACTTTGGAGAGGTCTCTGACTGCAGACTTTCCCAATGCAATTCATCTTTTAACTTCCTGGCTTCTGCTCCACCCCAATCACTGAATTGTGTTTCCCTGTCTGAGATCTCAATCTCAGTTGCCATGTCTGCTAGTTTATGTGCTAGTCTAAGTGTGCTCTATTGTACATAGGGCTTTCGAAGGACTGTTATTTCGGAAGTGGATGGGCAAAAAATCTAGAAACCAGTGTTCCTAAGATGTGACAACTGACATCTTCCACAGTTACACGTAAATATGCATAAAATAATTTTTTTAAAGCCATGTGTTTATGTGGCTACGAGTTGGAACTGACAACTAACAACAACGATAATATAAGCAAAAGTTTGCTTCAAAGGAAAAAAAAATCAAAACAAGGTCCTGGAAATGGGAGGTTTAGAAAAGATGTTTGTGGCTGAAACAGCTGGTGGAAGGCGGGTCTCGAGGGCGCTTTTAAGCGCGCTGTTTGCATCACCAGGCTTGGCTCAAACTCAGAACCCCTCCATCGGTTTCCGAGGATGTATATCTTAACTGAAGGAGCCTGTTCATCTTTCTCCGGCAGAGCCGCTGGTAGAAGCTGGGCCTATGGATTAGCGACGCTACTTCCCACGGACTACACCCCTTTTGGATTGGGGTAGGAACATGGGGTGATGATGATGGTCATGAAGTCACCGCCTTCTCTCCTTGTGAAGTCAAAATCATGAAAAATCCAGAAACAGTCACGTCATTGAGGATTAAGTTCTCCCGCCGATCCTTAAGGCAGAATGCCGCCCATCTGTGGCTCTCGTCTGCGTTAAACATCAAAACCATCTTACAGGCACCTGGCACACACCAGATTGAGCCGGTGATTTGAAAACTTTCGCTGTAGGCCTTGGTGAAAACTCCAACGCGCATCTGAGTGCGGAGCAGAGGTGGACTGGCCCCTGCATATCCAGCAAGGCCCTCTGGGAATTGTAGTCCAGCTGTCGGAGCGCCCCGCCCAGCCTCAGCCCTCTCTGTCTTTTACTGTCTACTCCTGATTAGTAAACGGGGTCCAGGGACTCGGACGAGGGACTACAATACCCGACAGACCCTGGACCGCAGCGCCCCGCCCAAGGTAGTGGGCAGGACGCTCCCGCGCACGCGCACGCACGTGGGTGACTGGGTTCGGCGGCGTGCGCCGTCCCGCGCGGGGCCCTCCCTGCGCTCGCCGCGCCTCGGGGCGCTCGTTGGGCTTGGCCGACCTGCCTCGCGCTCGCTCGCGGTCGGCTTCGCGCGCCCCTTCTCCCCGCTTTCTCCCAGAGCCCAGGCCCCGCCCGTGTCCCGCCCCCAGGGCTTGGCTGCTCCCGCCCCAGCCCTCCCTCCCTCCTCCGAGCTCCTGCTGCTTCTGCTGAAGGCGGTGGCTCCATGTTGTCCCCTCAGCGTGCGGTAGCGGCTGCCTCGGGAGGAGCAGGTGAGGCGCCCACTTCCCCTCGGACCCTCTCCGTAAGCCCCTCCGCTGGATGCCCCACCGTGGCTCCGGGCAGACCGCCGGCACCGCCTCTTCCCCTGGTCCCAGGCTGGAACCGCGCGCCCCCCGGCCGGATCCCTCGCGATATCGAGGCCGGTAGGGGGCTCCCCGCGGGGCTCGGCTCCCGGGCGCGGGCGGCGCCTTCCTCTGCCTCTAGCTCGGAGCGGCCGCCCCCGGGACTCGAGCTCTGCGCCTCGGAGGCCGCCGGCGCTCCTCTGGGCCGCGCTGGCCGTTTGCATCCGGGCAGCCCCGAGGGCCGGGCTTCCCCGAGGGGCGGCGCCCGGGGCTACGGCTCGTGGGGACCCCCCGCCCGGAAACTCTGGCTGTTCTAACGGGCCGACCCTTTGCCCGTCGGGTGGCCGTGACTCCTGGCCAGCCATCCTGTGGGCCGGGGTGCAGCTAAGCTGGCCGCTGGATTTCCGAGGCGGGGCGGTTTTTGCAGGCGCTGGCTGCAGGCATCTCTCTCGGCTTGCAGCCGGGCTCGTAAAAGCACAGCGCCGCCGGGGAGCGGGGAGGAAGATGCATTATTCAGCTCTTAGCAAAGTGCTTGAGAGCAGCGACTCATCTTCTCCACTTGGAAGCCTTGTTTTTATCCGAACGACCTTGAGGCCCGGGCTGCAAGAACTAGTAGACAAGTAGGTGTGCAGCCCACGTTGTCTTCATAGAGCAGAAGGGCGGACGCGGGCTCGCTTGGGTTTGCCACTTCGTTGTGCCTTTTTTGCTTCTGGAAGCCATATCAACTAGGAAAAATGTTTAATGCATACCAGATGAGGCGGCGCCAGGAATCCACCCAACCAGCTTCGACTGTCACTTCACCTGCTTGATTACTTTTAAATTGTGTGCGCTGTTGAAAGTGCCAGGAGTTTCACTTGTGATATTGCAATCAAAAAGGGAAAGAGTCATATTCTTTAAATAAGTAAAATAAGTAAAACTTGGTTCTCAGATTTGAATACGGAGTGGAATGTTTTGTGAATGGCAGAAAAAAACCCCAAAAGGGCCACACTTCAGTTTACATTTGGGAAAGCCGGTTTATGAAACAGAAGGTATTTCTAATCTGTGGCAAGTGTTCAGCACTGCAAGCTATAGCCTGAAATTCAAATGGCTGCTTTTTATTTCCTATACTCACAGAAACTAACACGAAGTCTAGACATTTCTGTTGCTGTCTCCACACCTGTAAAGAAAACACAGGAAAGGATCAGTAAATACCAGCACAGCACATTGCTTATTTACTGGTTACTGTCTTCTTAGAGTAATCCTGCAACTGAGAAAAAGAACCATACAGCATAACCGTGCTGGTTACCAACATAATTTCCTTAAGTTTTCAGTAAATTACTTCAAATAGGCTTTTCAGAAATTGGTTCTCTGTGTTGCCATTCAAAGGAGCCTGGTGGCACAGTTGTTCAGCGCTCCTCAGCTACCCTAACTTGTGGCCTCCTTGAACCCAGCAGCTGCTGCTTTTTTTTTTAAGGGTCATTCTTTTGAACCCAGCAGCTCCTTGGGGGAGGAAGATGCGGTTGTCTGCACCTGTAAAGATTTACAGCCTAAGAAACCATTTGGGCAGTTCTGCTTTGTGTAGTAGGGTTGCTGTGAGCTGGGACCTCCGCCGTGGCAGTGGGTTGATATTTATCATGCCATTCGGCTGCTTTGGGGAGGCATGAGGTCTCTTTTTTTAGGTCTGCTTGGGTTGGCTCTGACTCCTGGTGACCCTTTTGGGAAATCCTGCCCGGTCCATCCTCAACTTCACAATCTTGGCTCCATTTAAGCCCTTATTGGAGTCAATTGTCTTTCTGGTAGAGTCGTCTTCTTCTTGTCCTTGCATTTTTTCAAGCATGATGCCTTTCTCCAGAGACTAAAGCTTATATTCATCCTAATGAAAAAATGAAATAAAAGAGAACTTCAGGGAGCAAGACCTGAAGCCCTTCTACCTTCCCAGGTTCACAGGAGGTAGCCAGGGTCCACAGTTAGGCTCCCCTCATAACATTTCCCATGAAGAACTGCTGGATTGCATTGTGTCCCCGCAAAATAGGTGTCGTAAACCTGACTCCTGTGCGTATGTCTCTGGTTATAATCCCATTTGGGAATGGACTGATTTGTTTTTACTGATGGGGCTTGATTAGTGTAGACAGGTGTTTCTTGAATCAATTTTGAGATATAAAAGAGCTTCAATAAGTGAGCAGAAGCAGAGATGGGGAAAGAGAGAGGTGGCAAGACATGTGAAAATTGCACTGGAGCACAGACTTTAGAAGGAAGGCTTTCTTTCCTGCCTGGAACCCTGAGTTCAGATCTCTAACCTCTTAAACTATGAGCAAATTAAGTTGCTTGTTAAAACCACCCACGATTGGTACTTCTGTTACAGCAGCACTCAGTTACTGAGACAGGTACCTTAGGGGGACCCCTGGTCTATAAGAACTTTGAAATCCTAGGATGATATGACCTTACATCTTTTTATTGTTTTGCATATGGCTGAAAAAGCTTTTAAAGAGAAGAAAAATCTTCACGAATGTTTTCTAGAAAGTAGTTCTTATCCTGCTAGACATTAAATCAACTGGAGAAGTCTTAGTTTATTGGGGAAGGGTATACAACATTTAAAATATCCCAAAGCAGTTCTGCTTTGCATTCTAGTTTAAGTCTCATTCTACATTACTTATATGCCGGTTTGCAAATTTGAATTAAAAAACAAATCCAATGGGGGGGGGGAACCCCACAACATATATATATAAGCAAACAAAAATTTGTAAGAATTTTATATTACCCCCCACCCCCAGCGCCAGTTCTGATTTAGCGACCTTCTAGAAATACGTGTGTTTTCAGGGCTGTAAATGTTTCTAGAAAGAGCCTGCCACATCGTGTGGCCACGAGATTCGAACTGCTGTCCTTTCTGTTACCAGTGTTTAACCACTGGGTTTAGCCACCACGGCTCCTAAATTAGGATTCCCTGCTCTTTATATAGGATTATTAGGTGGTTATTTAAATTTGGGTAGATATGTTACTTTTTACAAAGTAGAATTTGTAACTTTAAATTGAGACTTGGTTGTTGCTCTAATATGCACCTTTCTCGGGGGGGAAGCTTTTGGGGGCTCTGTTTTTTTTTTAAATTTTTTTTTTTTGGGGGGGCGACTCTGTTTTGATTAGAGTTTTGGAGGCTTAGTCCAGAGGAGGTTGTGCTGCTGACTGACCCAAGGTGCTGCTTCTCTCGCGGATTGAGTTTAGCAGGGACTCCAAGGGAGAAAAATGGGCTGTTTCCTCCCCTTGGATTTACAGCCTCTGACCACCTGCTGGAGGTTCCATCTGTTATGAGTCAGGGCTGTCTCAATGGTAATGAGTTGAGCTGATTTTGATTGTTAGAACATGTTAGGTCTATTTCACAGCTAAGCTATGTTAAGAATTGGGAAACAGACTTTATTGGTGTAATGGGCAAATGTTGAGAGGCTCAGTGTATTTTTGCCCTGTAATGGTAAGGAATTCAAGCCAAATAAATATTGCCAGCTAGAAAGCCTCTTTTAAATGGGACACAGCTAATTAAAACCTTTAGGGCCATTACATTGAGCCTGATGGGGATTCACTTTGAGGAGAGAGACACATAACATTGCTTATTGAATTCATTTTGTGGAAAATGTCTTTTCTGCAGAATGGCCTAGGATTCATTTTCAGAGTCAGGCTCTTGTGTGCGTCCCCTGAATCTTGAACACTGTCTAGTCATCGTTGATCTTAAGACCATGAAGCACTGCGACCTAGTTCATCTACAAAGAAAATGCGGTTTTGTTTAGCATTCTGTGCTAAGGCTCAAAGGTGTTCTGTGCCAGATATATTAAGAAAATCACCCTAAAATGAAACTCTCTGCTTAGTCTGAATCTAAATTTCCCCCAATATTTTGGTTAGTTGTGTTTGATGAGTGTTTAACCGATGAGTTCTGAAGATGTGTAAGCTATGAGCACACACACTGCCTTAAAACAGTATGTAAAGACAGCCCTCCTTGAAAAAGAAAAGAGCCACACCCAGCAGGTCTAAAGTTAGCTGAAGGCCTAGTGTGCAGAGCCTTGCTCGTGGTGTGCTTTCTCTGGCTGTGTCTGTAAACTAGGAAGTTCTGAGGCTGCCAACAAGAGCCAGACACCAGAATGGCATGTAAGCCTCTGCTCTTGGGTGTGTGGTTCTTGGCCTTGAGAAAATCTGGCATTTCAAAGGAGAGAGGAAAAGTCAGGTCATCACTTCACTCTGAGTCATGCGCTCTACTCAGCACTCAGTGAAATGTGTTTTTAACTTTTCTGAACTCCGTGGACGGTAAGGGTGAATACTGACACTGCTGCCACTGGTTCTCAGCCCTGAGTCAGTTTTGCCTCCCAGGGCGCGCGCGCGGCAATGTCCCCGAGACGTTTTGGGCTGGCAGAGCGTGCAAGCCGTGCTGCTGTTGGGTAGAGATCAGGGACGCCACTGGCCATGCGGCGCACAGGACAGTCGCCACCGCAGAGTTCTCGGGCCCAGGGGTCAGCAGTGCCAAGGTGCAGAAACCCTGCTTGACCGACAAGCTAATGCACTAAATTGTGTGAATTTTCTCAACTGACAGTTGTAACTGCTTCCAATTAGCTCGTGTGACTGATTTTACAACTCTTCAGATAGTCTTCTCAAATTGGAGAGACATTTAAACTTTCCCCTTTACTGCCTTTCTGGCAGAATTTGTTTCTGAGTTTATGTTTTCTGGTGGGAGACACACCATTAATGCCAAGACCACATCTCTGGTTGCCTCTAAGCCACTAGCAGCTCTGTGGGAGAAGGATGGGAAATCTCTTCCCCTTCGGTTTCAGCCTCAGAAACCCCATAGAGGCTCAGCCCAGTCAGTTCTGACTTGATGGCGTTGAGTTTTTTAAATAGGGCTGAAGACACCAGTTATGATTTAGTTGTTTATTTGCCTTTTATTCAGTTTCTGTAAGCGCACAGAAGGACATAAA